GAGATCGTTGTAGCATGGCAGGAACTTATTATATTTGACTTGTCGTGTCTAAAATGGCTGATTGTTACAAGTCTTCTCCGCTCAGAGTCTCCCATGACAGCTGCAGCTAAACGCCTGAAATGTCAATGCAGAACGTGTGTAACGGAGCTGAGAAAAGTCAATTACAGTCATCTCCTCTGAGGGACGTGGAACTCTTTGTCTAACTCGAGAGGCTGCTTTGAAATCGCTCTGCTTGGCGGTGCAGCCGGCAGGAAACACTCCAATACATTATATTCTCCGCTAGCATCTGTGACACCTGGAACCTTCACAATGCTGGACAGTCACACTTCGTCTATTCATATTTCAATACAGGAAAAGTCACAGAACACTTAGAGAGGTTTGAGCTGAAGTGTTTCAAAGGTAGAGATTTTGAGACCACCATTTTATAAATCCTTTAAAATGTTCCTGACTGTAAGGGAAACTTCTGCAGCAATGGAGAGTCAGGACTCAGAGAGACACGAGGAGAGTTGGAGCTCTGATGGAGTCAGGACTCAGAGAGACACGAGGAGAGCTGGAGCTCTGATGGAGTCAGGACTCAGAGAGACACGAGGAGAGCTGGAGCTCTGATGGAGTCAGGACTCAGAGAGACGAGGAGAGCTGGAGCTCTGATGGAGTCAGGACTCAGAGACACGAGGAGAGCTGGAGCTTTGATGGAGTCAGGACTCAGAGAGACACGAGGAGAGCTGGAGCTTTGATAGAGTCAGGACTCAGAGACACGAGGAGAGTTGGAGCTTTGATGGAGTCAGGACTCAGAGACACGAGGAGAGCTGGAGCTCTGATGGAGTCAGGACTCAGAGACACGAGGAGAGCTGGAGCTCTGATGGAGTCAGGACTCAGAGACACGAGGAGAGCTGGAGCTCTGATGGAGTCAGGACTCAGAGAGACACGAGGAGAGCTGGAGCTTTGATGGAGTCAGGACTCAGAGAGACACGAGGAGAGCTGGAGCTTTGATGGAGTCAGGACTCAGAGAGACACGAGGAGAGCTGGAGCTTTGATGGAGTCAGGACTCAGAGAGACACGAGGAGAGCTGGAGCTCTGATGGAGTCAGGACTCAGAGAGACGAGGAGAGCTGGAGCTCTGATGGAGTCAGGACTCAGAGAGACACGAGGAGAGCTGGAGCTTTGATGGAGTCAGGACTCAGAGAGAGACGAGGAGAGCTGGAGCTCTGATGGAGTCAGGACACAGAGAGACACGAGGAGAGCTGGAGCTTTGATGGAGTCAGGACTCAGAGAGACACGAGGAGAGCTGAAGCTTTGATGGAGTCAGGACTCAGAGAGAGACGAGGAGAGCTGGAGCTCTGATGGAGTCAGGACACAGAGAGACACGAGGAGAGCTGGAGCTCTGATGGAGTCAGGACTCAGAGAGACACGAGGAGAGCTGGAGCTCTGATGGAGTCAGGACTCAGAGAGACACGAGGAGAGCTGGAGCTTTGATGGAGTCAGGACTCAGAGAGACACGAGGAGAGCTGGAGCTTTGATGGAGTCAGGACTCAGAGAGACACGAGGAGAGCTGGAGCTTTGATGGAGTCAGGACTCAGAGAGACCACGAGGAGAGCTGGAGCTTTGATGGAGTCAGGACTCAGAGAGACACGAGGAGAGCTGGAGCTTTGATGGAGTCAGGACTCAGAGAGAGACGAGGAGAGCTGGAGCTCTGATGGAGTCAGGACTCAGAGAGACACGAGGAGAGTTGGAGCTTTGATGTCAAACAATGATAGTTTATTACAAGTCAACGGCCGGAGAATTCACATCACAAGTCACAGCAGCAAAAGGTTCTGACTGCACGGGTGGGTTGCCATGTCAATTCTGATCAGCCTCGCATCTCGATAGACCTTTTAACTAGTTTACAGAGAGTCAAACCCACATATTGGGGATGGGCGTAAACATCTGCAGACACAGGAGATGTCTCTCACATCTGTGGAGCTTAGAAAGCCAGCGTTCTCACAGTCGTAAAACCCCCCCTATCAGGCCATAAAACTTGACACTAACGGCCCGTCCACACTACAGCTTCGAAAACGGTTTCCAACGCGTCTGCCCATTCACTTTGAATGGGGTGACGTCACTTTTCGCCGAACTGCATTGTGGGAAGCAGAGCGGAGCTTTGCTGGCGTTCCAGGCTGCAAAAGTTGAGCAATGTTCAACTTTTGAAGCTTCTGAAGCTTTCGGTGGAAGCGTCAGCCAATCAAATCATATGCCAGTACAAGCTCTAGCCAATCAAACCGCTGCTTGTGTGTCAGGGGCGGGAGATTCATGTGATTGGTTGTTGGTCGAGCTTCAGACACGCCCAGCTCCAAGCTTTTTTTGAAGCTGTAGTGTGGACGGGCCGTAAGTGCTGGAGCACATTCCTTAAAGCTGGCGTCACGAACAGGATTTGTTATTAACGTCAACAGGTTAAATATCTTAGGAGTAAGGAAGAATTATTCTCTAACACTAACAATATTAAAAACTTATAATGTCTGTCTTTATCTGCCTCCTAAAGTGATGCGTTTATTCATTCATGAAATGGAAATAAAGTTAAGTACCTTAAATATTAACTTAAGTGTGTTAAGTAGCCACACATGTGTTGATAAATCTAAGGGCCCCCAGCTGGCTGTGGGGCCCTCAGGTTGTGTTTACACAGCTTCAGACATCACGACTGTCTTTATCTGCCTCCTAAAGTGATGTGTTTTATCATTCATGAATAACCTACCTTGAATATTTACTTATATTTACTTGTTGACAAATCTAAGGGCCCCCAGCTGGCCCTCATGGTTGTATTCACACACTTAAAGATATCAACACATGTACCAGCGTGGCTCCGGGACAGCAGGTATTCGGGCAGCGGGGCCTCGTTCCTCCTCAGGCGTGTTTTGACGCATCGATCTGCTTCCTCAGGGGCCACGTCCACCCCGAGGGCCTTCAGCACGTCCACCACCGCTGTGGCCCCGCAGGCCGAGGCTCCGATCTGCAGAGTCTGCCTCTCAAGGGCCTCCTGGAAGGACCACAGCATGGCTTCATGCTCCTCTTCATCCTCCTCTTCATCGCCTACAGGGACCGGCTCACACTCTGCCTCCATCTGAGAGCCTCACCTGCACACACACACACACAGGGTAAAGATCAGACACACACACACACACACACACACACACACACACACACACACACACACACACACACACACACACACACACACACACACACACACACACACCACACACACACACACACACACACAGGGTAAAGATCAGACACACACACACACACACACACACACACACACACACACACACACACACACACACACACACACACAGGGTAAAGATCAGAGACACACACACACAGGGTAAAGATCAGATACCAACACACACACACACACACAAACAGTAGAGATCAGATACCAACACACACACACACACACACACACACACACACACACAGATACCAACACACACACACACACACACACACACACACACACAAACAGTAGAGATCAGATACCAACACACACACACACACACACACACACCACACACACACACACAGATACCAACACACACACACACACACACAGGGTAAAGATCAGAGACACACACACACAGGGTAAATATCAGATACCAACACACACACACACACACACACACACAGACAGATACCAACACACACAGACAGACACACACACACACACACAGATACCAACACACACACACACACACACACACACACACGGTAAGGATCAGATACCAACACACACACACTCGATAAAGATTAAATATCGCACACATAAGAGCATGTATAGCGTGTATAAGTGTTTGTGTGTGTGTGTGTGTGTGTGTGTGTGTGTGTGTGTGTGTGTGTGTGTGTGTGTGTGTGTGTGTGTGTGTGTGTGTGCGTGTAGCATGTATGTACAGTATGAAGCTAATGTCCAGTAGCCTCTTTAAATCATCATTGATGCAAACTATAGTCCTTCTTAGATAAACTCGTGTTATTTTCTTAATCTGAATAAACTTTAAAATGCTCTTGCACTTTGCTTTTATGAGTTATAATTAATAATGTCTTACCATCTAGCTACTGAGAGCGACAATCACAAACAGTCACGTGGTCTCTCTTCGGTGCTCCATTTCCGGTTGAGAAGAGAGGCAAAGTGACCCTCAGCGCCCCCTGCTGGCAGCTTTCAGCCAGGAGCAAAGCATGTTGAAAACACATAATGCACAAGGTCAACAATGAAGTCAAATGAGTGAATAAATTAGTAAATATAATTCACATATAAAAAGGAATATCCAACCAAACATGAATTGCTGTTGTTTGGTTGTTGAATAAGAAGTTGTATCTTCTTGTTTTTTTTACAAAAGTAAGGTGTGTATCGGCTTTTCCAGCTCGTTCTGGGTACCAACGTTAAAAGCACACTTGTTTATTTATTCATTATCAATCATAACATGTATACATCCACAAATATGTGTACATATGTATCGTAGAAGTGTGTTTTGGTGTGTCTGCAATGTTCAAAACAACAGATAGAGCCAGAAATCTAGGTGTAGTCATGGACTGAGTTTCAACAGTCACATTAAAACAGTTACTAAATCAGCCTACTATCACCTAAAGAACATATCTAGGGTTAAAAGACTAATGTCACAGCAGGATTTGGAAAAACTTGTCCATGCTTTTATCTTCAGTAGACTGGACTACTGCAATGGTGTCTTCACAGGTCTCACTAAAACATCTATTAGGAAGCTGCAGCTGATTCAGAACGCCGCTGCTCGAGTCCTCACTAACACTAAGAAAGTGGATCACTCCTGTTCTGAAGTCTTTACACTGGCTTCCTGTGTGTCAAAGAATAGATTTCTAAATACTGCTGCTGGTTTATAAAGCACTGAATGGTTTAGGCCCAAAATACATTTCTGACCTCCTGCTAAATGATGAAGCATCCAGATCTCTCAGGTCTTCAGGGACTGGTCAGCTTTCTGTCCCCAGAGTCAGAACTAAACATGGAGAAGCAGCGTTCAGTTATTATGCTCCAAATATCTGGAACAAACTCCCAGAAACCTGCAGGTCCGCTGCAACTCTGACTACTTTCAAATCCAGCAAGAAGACTTTTCTTTTTGTCGCTGCTTTTAATTGAACTATTCATATCTTAAACTGCACTGTAACTTTTTATTCATGTCTTTTATTATCTTTTCGTTTTAATGACTGATTTTAAATGCATTTGTCTGAATGTCTTTCATTTTTGTAAAGCACCTTGAATTGCCTTGTGTTGAAAGGTGCTATATAAATAAACTTGCCTTACTTCCGGGTTACAGGCTCTGATAATGTACACACTTCATACATTCATTATTTTAATACATTTTATGTTGCTTAAACATGTTTTGTCCATGGAAAAAATGTAAGAAAATAACGGCATAGTATGTCGAAAATGTGAGATAAACTATTAACTATTTTAAAAATCAGCATTTATATATAGCCTATACATAAATGTTTACAATAAATATAAAGTAAACTAGATGAATAAGACCGTTTCCAAAGACTATGACAACAATGATTTGCCATCGATAGCCCAACTTTAGCAGGCACAATTCACTGTTAACAAACTAAACATGAAGATGGTTTATTCCGCCATGGCCCCCCCACAGGATGGTATGACCCGTAGACGCCCCGCCCCCTGCTGGCCAGAGACGCCACATAGCCAAGGTCAGCTGGCCGATACGGATGACGCCAGCTCACGAGATGCACACGGAAGAGTGACTGCAGGGAATAAACAGCGGTAACTAGAGTTTCCTGTGATTTAAAAGGTCAGTCAATGGCCACACAAACTTAACAAACTAACACATAAGCGAACAAATAATCAAACAAACACGTGTTAGCTTACAGCTATGCTAACGCCGGTACAGTTGCTACAGTCCGGCCGAATAAACAAACCGCTCATTATCAAATTCACCCGAGTCATGGTTACTTCGAAATAATTAAATACTGTGAGAAGTACCATGACATTTCATACTGTTTGTTAATGGACTGTGTGATATGTTCGCTACTGTAGTTGTCAGTGGATGAACACTTCCGGGTTACAGGCTCACATCACACACACATCACTTCATACATGAATCTCTTAATACATTTTCTCTAGCTTAAACATGGTTTGTCGAGGTATTTAATCCATTTGTGTTGTAGATATACTCTGTCTGCAGTGGTGTTAGGGTGCAGTTTTAATTCATAATGCCCCTATCTTGTAGCTATGATGTGTGTGTATAGCTCCACCTGGTGGTCACTAACTGCACATGCTATAAGTAGCAATACTACATTTTAAAATGACTTTATCTCCTGAAGTGTTGTCACGATACCAACATTTTGGTTTCGATACCAAGTCAAGAATTGCGATTCTTTTTCAATACTTTTCTTTTATTATTTTCATGATAAATAAAATTGTAGTTTCTGTTAAGTGTTTTCTTACAACATGCTCTCTTCTTTATACTTGAGTTTATGTGATTTCTTTGATAGTTAACTTTATATTTTATTAACATGTAATAGTACAGTAATATAAATAATTATTGACAAAATGTACATTTCAGATGTTAGCCACATTGGTAAGTTAGCTAAAAAGATATTAGACAGTTATCATTGCCATTCATTGCCTCGTCAAACTACGAAAACGTTCGTTTGTCACAAAATAAATTACACTTGTTTGACTTAGATTTGAGGGCATGGGATTGAGCATGATGTAATTATGTTATCTATCACATTCGCTAACCGGTCGGCGGGTGCTTAGCCAAGTTTGATGTGTTGGCTCCCTTGGTTTGCAGGGATCTGAAACATGACAGACAGGCCTCGTGGTGTCCGTAGGCTTGCCCTCACTGTCAGAGATATAGCTAAAAAAATACTTCCAAATTTCGCTTCTGGCGTCTTTTTTGTCAACAAGCCGAGGCGCAGCGGCAGTTGCACTCCCACTTGCAGCCATGCTTCTCGTTTTCTCACATGCTCTGGCAGCTAGCGCGTGCACGAGAGAGGGGAGGGACTTAGAGCGTGCACCAGAGAGGGGAGGGATTTAGAGCGTGCTTGAGAAGGGAGGGACTTAGAGCGTGCTTGAGAGGGGCGGGACTTAGAGCGTGCTTGAGAGGGGAGGCACTAGGCTTGTTTGAGACAAGCGAGACCTGCGCAGTTGCGATCAACGTCTTGCTCGTGCGTTGCATGATGGTTAGTCATTTTGTCCGACTTGCTCTGGAGGCTCGCCTACATGAGACGTTGAAATCTCGCAAAGACAAAGACGCCCGCAGCCTTGAGAGCGAGGCGTGGCGAGGCGGCGCAGTTCCTCTCCACGGGCTGCGGAAGCTAAATGCTTGATGGGAAACGACTCGCTGGTATCTCGAGCTGAGCGCTCATTGGTGGGTTTTACCACGTGCTGCTGATGAAGCTCTCCCATTGGCTCGGCAAAAGTTTGTTGTTGTTTTGTGGCAGTTTTACGTCGCCACTTCCATTCCCATTTTTCATCATTGTTCCACAATGTTTATCATCATGAAATTAATATCCATATATTTTATACTATACTTGCACTGCTTACCGTTTTCATACTTTATATATCTTAGCATATTCATACACACTGTTCATACTGCTCACAGGCTGATATCTGTGTATTCATACCCCTCACTGTTTATTCATCATTCAATTCATTCTATATTTTATTCTGTAGATTGTGTACATTACTTTTCACTTTACTGCTTGTTGCACCTGGTTAGAAGCTAAACTGCAGTTCGTTGTCTCAGTACCTGTAATCTGTGCAATCACAATAAAGTTGAATCTAATCTTGAGCAGGAACAAATGTATTTACTTAGTACATATCTGACATTAATGATTAAACACATGTGTGCATTCTTTATAAATGCAAACCGAGTCAAGCCGACTCCGGAGGTGGCGGTATGCACCTTCAAGCTGTTTGCAATCCGCCAAAAAACCGAGAGAAGAAGAAGAAGAAGACGAAGCCGACTCCGAGATGTCCGACTTCAGGCGAGCTTTTGAGACCTCCCCCGGCTGCGATCGGCTATTCTCGTCTACTTTCGAGGCGAGCCGCAACGCGTCTCAAACAAGCCTACTGAGAGCGTGCTTGAGAGGGGAGGGACTTAGAGCGTGCTTGAGAGGGGAGGGACTTAGAGCATGCACGAGAGGGGAGGGACTTAGAGCGTGCTTGAGAGGGGAGGGACTTAGAGCGTGCTTGAGAGGGGAGGGACTTAGAGCGTGCTTGAGAGGGGAGGGACTTAGAGCGTGCTTGAGAGGGGAGGGACTTAGAGCATGCACGAGAGGGGAGGGACTTAGAGCGTGCTTGAGAGGGGAGGGACTTAGAGCGTGCTTGAGAGGGGAGGGACTTAGAGCGTGCTTGAGAGGGGAGGGACTTAGAGCGTGCTTGAGAGGGGAGGGACTTAGGCGTGCTTGAGGGGGGAGGGACTTAGAGCGTGCTTGAGAGGGGAGGGACTTAGAGCGTGCTTGAGAGGGGAGGGACTTAGAGCGTGCTTGAGAGGGGAGGGACTTAGAGCGTGCTTGAGAGGGGAGGGACTTAGAGCGTGCTTGAGAGGGGGAGGGACTTAGAGCGTGCTTGAGAGGGGAGGGACTTAGAGCGTGCTTGAGAGGGGAGGGACTTAGAGCGTGCTTGAGAGGGGAGGGACTTAGAGCGTGCTTGAGAGGGGAGGGACTTAGAGCGTGCTTGAGAGGGGAGGGACTTAGAGCGTGCTTGAGAAGGGAGGGACTTAGTGCGTGCTTGAGAGGGGAGGGACTTAGAGCGTGCTTGAGAAGGGAGGGACTTAGTGCGTGCTTGAGAGGGGAGGGACTTAGAGCGTGCACGAGAGGGGAGGCACTTAGAGCGTGCTTGAGAGGGGAGGCACTTAGAGCGTGCTTGAGAGGGGAAGGGGACTTAGCGTGCTTGAGAGGGGAGGGACTTAGAGCGTGCTTGAGAGGGGAGGGACTTAGAGCGTGCTTGAGAGGGGAGGGACTTAGAGCGTGCTTGAGAGGGGAGGGACTTAGAGCGTGCTTGAGAGGGGAGGGACTTAGAGCGGGCTTGAGAGGGGAGGGACTTAGAGCGTGCTTGAGAGGGGAGGGACTTAGAGCGTGCTTGAGAGGGGAGGGACTTAGAGCGTGCTTGAGAGGGGAGGGACTGCAGGCACGGCTGCAGTGCAGGGAGTGGAAGCAGAGCACACAGCTCTTATTAACACAGGGCTTTCTCACCGGAGTACTTTTCCCCGTCATTCTTAAAGTACCGATACTAATGGAACGGAGTAACCGTAACATTTTTAACGGCAGGGTATCGCGGTACCTCTCAAGTATCGGTACACCGTGCAACACTAATCTCCTGCATCAAAATATACTTAAAGTACCAAAAGTAAAATGACTCCTTATGCATAATGGCCCATTTCAGAATCATATATATATCGATCTCTTTTTCAAGGGAGACCTGCAGCAATTCGGTTCCACATGAAGACATAACATAAAACAACAGAAAAACAAAAGGACATCATACAGCATAGTTACAGGGTTACAATGTGCATAGCTAACGACATGTAACAGTATCAGATTGCATAGCATCTATCCGAGCTTTAAAAACATGCACTGGAACCAAATTGCTCATTTTCCAAGTTAGAGGAGCTGCGCACATAAAAGCTTTTTACCCTAAGTCAGTCCTAGCACTTGGCACATTTAACAAAACCACAGCATGAGATCTCAGGCAGTAGCTACTTTCAACTCTCCGTGTGATCAGAGAGCAGATGGAAGATGGTAGTTTACCTAACATGGCTTTGTAGATGAACACGTACCAGTGACTGAGCCTCCGTACAGTTAGTGAAGGCAGACCTGCCCTGGCATACAGGGTACAGTGATGAGTTAATACTTTACAGTTAGTAACAAATCTCAGTGCGCTGTGATAGGCGGCATCTAACTTGATCAGGTTGGTGCATTCATATAGATCAGATCACCAGAGTCCAGCACAGGTCAAAAGGTCACAGAGCCTTTTCCTGGCCTCAAGCGAGAAACAGGACTTGTTCCTGAAGAAGAAACCTAGTCTAACCCTCAGCTTTCTAAGCAGGTTGTTGACATGAAGTTTAAAAGTGAGACAATCATCAAGCCAGATACCTTGGTATTTATAACAGGCAACCACTTCAAGTACTTGTCCTTGCATAGTAACAATATCTAAAACAGGCTCTGGTGTCTTTTTAGCTTTAGAAAATAGCATTACCTTGGTTTTATCAACATTTAAAAGAAGCTTTAGTTCAGAGAGCTGAGTCTGAATGATGTTAAAAACAGCCTGTAATTTAACAGCAGCCTCGTTAATCGAGGGACCTGCACAGAACATCACGGTATCATCCGCATACAAATGTAAAGTTGCTCCATCCACATTTTATTTTATTATTATTATTCAACATTAATAATCTTTGTTCTCAAAGTAATGATAAACCTGTGAGTTGGATGTAGAAAAGTCAGAATCAATATAGATGTTTTTTATTTTAAAGAAAATTCAGATTGAACACAGTAAAAAACTGTAAATTATAGTGTCCGTCCAAAAGATATTTTATACTTATAGTGAAAACTAACCTTGGATGATGGGCTAGTAGACTAAAAGCTTTAGGAATCCAAAGTACAACATATAATAAGTACCCTGTATCAAGATTGATGCAAAACAAGTGATATTTGACCTTTTTAGACAGATTTAGCAAAAAAACCCTCTTCTGGGGTCATTTGGGTGGATTTTCCATATCTCTGGCCCCCCTTGCTCGATTTTGCTGATTGACATCTCTTTCTAACCGTCAGAGCCAATGGAATCGAGGGGAACTCACACATAGTCCATATTTGGTAATGTGTGTGTGTTAGACTGCCGCATAGCCGAGACCGGAAGCTGCAGCCACTCTGGTGGCTACCATTAGCAGCTAACTTTTGCTCTGCGATTTTTACATAAAAATGGAATTATGGATTATAAATTAAATAATTTTTTTATACAGAGACGTTAAAAACCTATGGATTAACCGATTCAGCCGCGTTTTTTCTCGTTGTAATGCCATTGAACACGTCTTTTGATCAGATTGACAGCTACGGTGAGACGATCTCCCTAGAAGCTCCGTAAAGGTACGTGTTGTGATGTCTGTTTGCTTCCCCTGTCGCGAGTCCGGATCACTCAGTGATGATACTGTATACCTACATAATCTGTGGAACCTCAGCTTTAATCGGATATCTTGTAAGTGCAGCTACGATAAGTAATAAGGGTACTTTTATCTTGAGTTCTGTGCCAAAGTGCGTTAGCATTTTTCGCTAAGGGGTCATTTAGATGCTTCTTATGAAACTTGTGTTTTGTTTTCGTAAAAATGGTTTGTATCGTCAGTTAGCTGAGATTATTCCCGTTAATCTGGTATAACACATTAATAGGTTCTTAAATATTAAGATCCCCTGAGACACAGTGTCGTGAAAAAACCCCCCGGACCTTGGGGTTTAACAGGTTAATAAATGCAGTTACATTTTTAGCAGCTATTCATACTAAATCAGTTGTCCCTCCCCCTGGTGCCAGGACCAACAGATCCATCTTTAGGCTCCGCAGCCCTGTCCCCCCATAACGGCCCCTACACACGGCGGCGTGCGTTGACTCTTCAACGCTTCTGTCCATTCACTTTGAATGGTGTTACGTCACGCTTCGCCAAACTGCATTGTGGGAGCAAAGCGTAGCTTTTCTCGTTGTGCTCGCGGCAAAAGTAGAGCAACTTTTGAAGCCTCGACGGAGGCGTCAGCCAATCAAATCCCGTTTAAGCAAATCTACCAGTACAAGCGCTAGCCAATCAAACCGCGTGTATGCTGGGAGAGCCAGACCGCAGTTCATTTCCTCATATGCCAAAACATGGAGGAGAAAATAATCGTAGCGGTAGGGAATCACCCGGTGCTTTATGATCAGTCTCTGTTCACCTACCGGGATACAAACCGGAGGAGCCAGGCATGGAGGGAGGTGGCAGAGACAGAGGGTGAAACTGGTAGGTTTTCGCCTGTTTGGGGAGTTTATATCCAGTGTACTTCGTTTGAATGGACAGCTAGCAAGCATAGACAGTATTTAGCCAGCATGGAATGTTGCGTAAAATAGCACCATAGACATTAATGTCATAAATGTTCATCATATAAAGTGTGACATGTAAAACCTTTTATGCAATTGACAGGAGAGATTCATTTGATTGGTTGTTGGTCGCGTTGCTCGCGTAAACTCCCCAACCTCAAGACACGCCCACCGCCAAGCGGCAATGCCGTGTGTAGGGGCCGTAAGGCTTTGCAGTCTTGCCATGCTGTCCATTGAAAGCCAGTTGGCTAGAAAGCTGGACTTCAAGGATTTGATCAGTGACTTTGCCTGTAAGAAGGCTAGGCGCTGGGCTCTTGGTGAGTTACCCCTAGATTCCACCGGATCCGTCTGCGTCGCGTTACGGCCGTATTGTGGCTGCGCCGCGGCGTCCGCAAGGATCGCGACCACTCTAGTCAACGGGTGCTATTCCACCAGACGCGCCGCGTTACGGCTCAGAAGCGTCCCAGAAGCGTCTCGCCGCTGGGCTCCGGCTCGAAATAGGATTGAAGTCTATTTGTCGACGCGACGCAGCCGTAAGGTAATGTCGGGCAGGAAGTGGAACGGTGACAGCATCCGGCCCATCCCCAAAATAAACTCATTTTGCAGACCCTATCCCTCCGTAGTCTTTCAAGTAGGAGGAGAAATGCCAGCGTTCTCCTCCGGTTTGGCACTGTGTAAATTATGCATTTTTTTACCACTAAAATACAGCAACACATCTTTGATTCATGTCGTTTATAACTGGAATATTACAATTATTATTAACGTTGTCTGTACAAAGTAACCTGTCCAGGAAATATGCCCAAATCAACAACAACTGCGAGCCGGCAGGCAAGACGCTCCGCTTCTGAAATGCTTCTGAAACGCGGCCGGTAGGGTTTGACGCCGGAGGAGGCCGGATCAAAACCGCGGTGCAGCCGTGACGCGACGCAGACGGACCCGGTGGAATCGAGGGGTTAGGCCAGGACTATTCAACTTCATTAGCAAGTGGGCCAAATAGGAAAATCACTGGGGGTTTGTGGGCCACACAATACTTTGTCAAGGAACCACCATAACTCTTGCTTACAGTAGTGTTAATAGGTACTAATACATTAAATGAACTAGTCAAGTGCATCCCTTTTTTTATTACTTCAATTGTATCAACATAAATCCTTACAGAAAGCAACCAGTCCATACAAAAGTAGGAAAGCTTCGGTTACAAGGCTTGGTGCAAAATGTTGCATATTTAAAACTAAGGAGACATGAGTTTTTTCCCCCAACAGTTCCATGTCCACTAATGTACAAAACAAGATGAATATAATAAAACAGTATTCATCACATTAACAGTAAGTAGCCCTGTGTATAATATCCTCAACACTTCCAAGCAAACATACTGTAAGGTGCTTTGAAGTCAACACAAGTCCATAAAATGTAATACTAAATGCAAATAGAACATAGTTAACAATAGCCATCAGACTCACAATAACATTCATATCTTGGAAACATTTTTACAATGTTCGAAACATTAAGTAGGCGTGTTTGAATGACCATAAAATGAATGACCATAAAAACAGATCTGCATACATACCATGCATCAGACTTCTGTCATGTTTAAGCTGTTTGAGTCAGTGAGAGAAATTACACTGCCTTGATTTAGCTATTTCAGCATAGTTTGGCTCATAAGTGGTAAGAGCAATCCTGAGACACTCATGCAACTTCTGATTGGTCATGGAGCAACGTGATGTTTTGATGGCATTCATATGAGAAAAGCTAGACTCACAAGTATAGGTAGATCAGTATAAGCAAGGCCACCTTCCTCATTGTTGGCCACTTGACTCCGTTCAAATGATGCTAGCAGTCCCTGTACTTTCCTTCTCCGTTCCTCTGAGCCCACGGGAACACTGGCAGAAAACGAGCCGTGATCTGAGTTGTAGTGTCGCTTTACGTTGTATTCTTTCATCATGGATATACTTTCGTTGCACAATAAACACACCGGTTTATTACTTGTTGCGGCTGGCAAAGTAAATACATATTTGTCAGTCCATTCATTCTGGAATTGGCGATTTTCCGAATCAACTTTACGTTTCTTGGGCTTGGAGAGAGACATCTTGAAGCTGTTGTTAACGAAAGCACTTTCTCTGTGGCCCGCGAACCTAGTGTGTAACGTGAGTTTGACTGAGCCAATGACAAGTGAGGACACAGTGCGGTTTTTTTTAATGAGCAGAGCGCGGCAGGCAAAATAATGGATTCAAAATCATTCAAATGAATTGAAAAACCAGCGTTTTCGTCGGATTTAGTGTGATAATATTGGTGTTAATGTTCACTTTATTTTAATTTAAGAGGTCATGTATATTTAAGTTATATTTATTTAGATGTTTGAATGTTCCATTAAAAAATGTGATTAAAAAGGCATGTACACCATAGAAGATGGCTATTGAGGTCTGTAGTCAGGAATGTTAGTGTTATATCAAATAGTGAATTCTACTGCAGCAGAATGTTGCACGTCTGCACAGTTATATGTTCACCGCTCAGTGTCAGTACATATTGTGCGGTTAGTATTGGACTACAAGACAGATGCAAGCCTGTAGGTAGAGTTATTTAAAGCATCAATGAGTGGGTTGGGTTCTGGAGGTGTGGGTACAGCATTGTGCTTGGTTGGCGTGGCCTGGGCCTGGTGGTGGGGCCCAATGTGATATCTTTTCATGGGGAATGTAGAGATGGGTCTATAGTTATTTAATAAGGTGGCCTCCCCTCCTTTTAGTAGAGGAACACTATACATAATACTATTACAACTTGTTTCATATATACTATGTCGTTTTTCATGATATTTTCATTCTATAGTCAGTACCTACTATACTGACTTCATGGTGTCTTTTTCTTCTCTTCTCCCCACAGGACTGCGAGGACATTCATCTGACATCAATGAAGACGGTGGCTTCTTGAGTTTCTGAAGGACTTACGGTACTATACGATGACTTTTCTGATATTTTCGATATACTGTACGATGTTTTCTTTTAGCATTTCTCCGACATTGGTTAGGGTTATGACTTTTCGGTCATTTTTAACAAAATAAAATACCACGCCTGGGATCCACACACTATGCCGTGCCGTATTATGGCATCAAAGAATTGTTTAGATTATTTTGTTGCATTTTTTTTTTTTAAATCGATATACATTTGACATATATCGATGTCGTTTCAAATGTTTTGAAATGTTTCGAAATACTATATTAGGACTTTTCTGTCATCGTTATCGTCATACTATACTACGCCTTGTTTCTACGCACTAAACCGTGCCTTATTTCCACATCAAATACGATATTTTCTCCGACATTGGTTAGGGTTAGGACTTTTTTGTCAATAAATAAATGTTGTCTTTTTCTCAATCCTTTATTTTGATGAGTTATTTATTTCACTTTATAACAATAATCAACAATAAAGCTACAGGAAATTACTTTGTCAAAAACTGGAACTATAAGCTTAGTTAGAGCCAGGGGAAGATAGTTTAAACATATATCTTTTTGGATAAGGATCCTCCCCCTCATATAAAATGAGTTTTTTTTAAGAAAGAACAGTTTTTATACCAAGGTGTTTGTGGCGCAATTGTAGGACATACGCTGAGCTATTGTTGGTGTTTGCTAGATTTAGTCAAACAAAGAAAATGTGAAAAAATGAAATAAAACAAGTCATAGTGCAAACAGTTAGAGTGATACAACACTGCTCAGGTAAGCTGAAGTCTTGGGTTCGATCCTCATGAGGCGCAGGAGTTTTCAAAATCTCCAACCCAAAGTTGAGAATGAGTTTACCAAATGAAAGGTTTGCCTCTCAGGTCAGATGGCTCAGAGGGATAGAAGACTGACCATGAGAATGAGTTTTCCTCTCAGGTCAGATTACATTACATTACATTACATTGCATTTAGCTGACGCTTTTATCCAAAGCGACTTACAATAAGTACATTCGACCAGGAAGACACAACCTTGAAGAAAACAGAATCATATAAGTACATCAGGTTTCATAGAGCCAAACATTTCAAGTGCTACTCAACTGGCTTTAGATAAGCCAGTCCTTTATTAGTATATAAGTGCTTTGTTAATAGTTCTATCGCTCGAAGTGGAGTCGAAAGAGATGAGTTTTCAGTTTGCGCCGGAAGATGTGCAAGCTATCTGCCGTCCTGATGTCAATGGGGAGCTCATTCCACCATCTTGGAGCCAGGACAGCAAACCCACGTGTTTTCGCCGATGGGAACTTGGGTCCCCCTCGCAGCGAGGGCGCAGCGAGTCGTTTGGCTGACGCAGAGCGTAGTGCACGCGCTGGGGTGTACGGTTTAACCATGTCCTGGATGTAGGAAGGGCCAGATCCATTCGCAGCATGGTAAGCAAGTACCAGTGTCTTGAAGTGGATTCTAGCAGTTACCGGAAGCCAGTGAAGGGAGCGGAGGAGCGGAGTGGTGTGGGAACATTTAGGAAGGTTGAAGACCAGACGAGCCGCTGCATTCTGGATGAGCTGCAGAGGTCGGATGGCACATGCAGGTAGACCAGCCAGGAGGGAGTTGCAGTAGTCTAGGCGTGAGATGACGAGAGCCTGGACCAGAACCTGAGTCGCTTTCTGAGTCAGCTGGGGACGTATCTTCCTGATGTTGTAAAGCGTGTATCTGCAGCAGCGGGTTGTAGCAGCGATGTTTGCAGTGAAGGACAGGTTGTTATCTAGGGTCACACCCAGATTCCTTGCAGTCTGAGTCGGGGAAACAACTGAGGTGCCGATGTTGATTGTTAGGTCAAGAGTAGGACAATCTTTTCCCGGGAGGAAGAGCAGCTCAGTCTTGTCAAGGTTGAGCTTGAGGTGGTGAGCAGACATCCACTGAGAGATGTCAGCTAGACAAGCAGAGATGCGTGCGACGACCTGGGTCTCTGAGCGGGGAAAGGACAGAATTAATTGGGTGTCGTCAGCGTAGCAGTGGTAAGAAAAACCATGCGGGCTAATGACTGATCCGAGCGAGTTTGTGTACAGGGAGAAGAGGAGGGGACCAAGAACAGAGCCCTGAGGGACCCCCGTAGTTAATTGACAAGGGTGGGACTCAGACCCTCTCCAAGTCACCCTGTAGGTACGGTCTTTGAGGTATGAGGTGAGGAGGGAAAGTGCAGAGCCTGAAACTCCAAGTTTTTGGAGAGTGCGGAAGGAGGATCTGATGATTCACCGTGTCGAATGCAGCAGACAGGTCCAACAGGATGATGACAGAGGAGAGGGATGCAGTTTTGGCAGTGTGCAGTTCCTCCGTGACAGCAATGAGAGCAGTTTCTGTGGAGTGACCTGCCTTGAAACCAGAGATGGCTCAGAGGGATAGAAGACTGACCGTAAGAATGAGTTTACCAAATGAAAGGTTTGCCTCTCAGGTCAGATGGCTCAGAGGGAAAGAAGACTGACCATGAGAATGAGTTTTCCTCTCAGGTCAGATGGCTCAGAGGGATAGAAGACTGACCATGAGAATGAGTTTCCCTCTCAGGTCAGATGGCTCAGAGGGAAAGAAGACTGACCGTGAGAATGAGTTTCCCTCTCAGGTCAGATGGCTCAGAGGGAAAGAAGACTGACTGTGAGAATGAGTTTGCCTCTCAGGTCAGATGGCTCAGAGGGATAGAAGACTGACTGTGAGACAGCAGGTTGTGGGTTCGAGGCCTTTCAGGTGCAGTCATCTTTAAGGTCCACAAAGCCAAATGAGCAGGTCATAAGCTCTACGAAACAATGACGACTCAGGACAGATGGCGCAGAGGGATATGTGACGGGTCAGAAGACCTGAGGTTGTGTGTTCGAATCCTCGTGATGCTCAGTGATTTTTAAAGAGCTTTACTCAAAGTGATGAGGATAAATGCGCCCAGAGAACAGGTCTTCATGTACATGAGTTGGTGGCTATCGGGGTTTGTTCTCGGCACTTAGGCGCCTTAGTGCGCACTGAGGCGCCTAAGTGCCGAGAACAGATCCGCTGCTTAGCATGTGCGGGGTTCGAGTCTACTAGAGGCGAGGTAGCTAGGTCCAAAATAGAGAAATAAAATAGGCCAACAAAATAGGTGAAAAGAATAAATAGAGTTCTAAGATAGGAAAGGTGACCAACTAGAAAAGCGTAGAGAAATACGGGTAATGTAAACATTGAGCTCAATTAGGGGATAACATAAATTAGTCTTTTCTTTTCTAGATACTTCACTCTGACCGTTTGCTCTATGACCATGTAATGAGTTTACCAGATGAAAGGTTTGTCTCAGGTCAGATGGCTCAGAGGGAAAGAAGACCGTGAGACTGCAGGCTGTGGGTTCAAGGCTTTTCAGCTGCAGTCGTCTTGGATGAGACGACAACTCATGATCTGCCCATTATTTGTATCTGTCTCCGAAAATACTCGCATCTCATACTTAAGTAAAAGTAATAATACAGCAGCGTATGGAAATAAGTCAGTTTAGCAAGGCACAAAATGTTTATTTAAACAAGTCACACTATGTAATTATTAAAAAGTAACAATAGTAGTCACAACATTTTTTTAAAGTTACAGTTGAAAAAAGTCAGTATAGTTTGTCTTGAAATAAGTAAAGTATATAAAACACTTTTCATAAAGAAGTACGTCAGATCAAATGTAATAAAGGCCGTATGTCATCAAATGTTATACTATGACTTTTTGATATTTCTCTACATGCTGTACTATGACTGTTCACATCTTATGTTAGACAAACTATACTACAGCTTTATTTCTAACAACGACACCGTTACTTTTTATTCCAGAAATTCCATACTATGACTTTTAAAGGTTTTTCACAACATATTAGAGTGTTTATTTATTATGTAATACATTTATTCCTGTGTTTATGTATTATTTAATAATAAATACACACAGGAAAAAAGGTATTATTTAATATATTTATTACTGTGTTTATGTATTATTTAATAATAAATACACACAGGAATAAATAATGATATATATAATAATAATAAATGTAATAATTATAATAAAATGTAATATATTTATTACTGTGTTTATATATTATTTGTATGTATTCCTGCATTTATTTATTCCTGTATTATTTTTAGGGGTGCACCGAATGGGAAACAGTTGGCCGAAAACCGAATGCCGAAAATGATTAATAGAAATATATATATATATAATGTATACATTTTTTACCAATGTTGTTCAGCTACCTGATTATGGAAATAGACATGATTATGGCAAAACTTAACTTAAATAATAATCACTATTATGGGTCCATAAAACATTTATTCAGCACTTTTGAATGCATACAGTACATTTATATATGTCATGTATTATTGCTAAAAACATGATATCGCAGTCTTAGTGTCGCCAACTCGTTTCTAATATGCAAAGACAACAAATTCGTCTATGATGTATTTTCGATCAGACGAGATCTCTCTCCCGTCTGTGTGCGAGGGGGCGGGGCAGTTTACACACACGCAGCTGCTACATGCAGCGGAGCACACTGCGGAGATGGCGGAGAGAACGCGCTCCGAGGTGTGGTTAAACTTTACCCGTCTCGATGTGGAGAATACTTGTTACCATAAGTGCAATAAGAGTTTAGCATGTAAGCACGAGCAATTTGTCTAAACATTTAGCAAAAGTGCACCGCATGCAGACGGAGGAATGTACCGGGTTCGACCGTCTTTCTAGCAGCTCTGTAGCCCCATCCACGAGTAACGTTTCCACGTCAGGTGTTATGTATGCTAGCAGCAACACACGGAGTTAACTACATGATACAAACATTAATGATTAGAGGAAACTGAGTTATTTAGTTTGTTAAAATTTCAGCTATTCTGTTTACAGTCTGTCATCAGATTATTTAATACGATTTGTTAAAGGCTCAGGGCAATCTCGATGACAAAGGTCAATGTCCCCCCCCCTGTGAGCCAGCCGCGTCTTTATTACGTCATCACAACAACACGTTAGGTTACCAACGTAAGCCTGTTCTGACATT